AATTTTGAAATCTCACTACCGTCAATACCACAGTTTGAAAATAAAAGTTTGAATTTTTTTTTGGTTTTTTAATTTTGAAATCTCACTACCGTCAATACCACAGTTTGAAAATAAAAGTTTGAATTTTTTTTTGATTTTTAATTTTCAAATCTCACTACCGCCAATACCACAGTTTAAAAATAAAAGTTTAAATTTTATATTTTCACTTTGGATTTTGAAATCTCACTTTTTATTTTTTTCATGAATCTCACTACCTTAGAACTTGACACTTTATACTTTTATTTTATAAAACTGGGGCATTTTATACCTACAGGAGTAGACTTGGTATTTCAATTAATGAATTCAGTTTGAATTGTCAAAGGTTTACACCAACAGGTTACAAATATGTAAGGATTAAAGAATTCGATTTTTTTGCTAAAACTCAGTTCCTTTTACCAAGAAAAGGGATATTTATATATATTTACTCATAAATTCAAAAAAATTTGCTGCACTGCAGAGAGAGATAAACGTTAGAACACACTAACATAACAAACTAAACTAAACTAAACTAAACTAAACTAAACTAAACTAAACTAAACTAAACTAAACTAAACTAAACTAAACTAAACTAAACTAAACTAAACTAAACTGAACTGAACTAAACTAAACTAAACGTAACTAAACGTAACTAAACTAAACTAAACTAAAGGCGTATACAGGAAATTGTCCAGGTGGTGAATACCCTATATTTGCATACAAGTTTTATTTTAGATAAATGAAGATCTAGATAAATTCTAAATTTTATTCATAATATTTTGAATAATATCTGTAGTGTTGACTCTGGACCGGGGTCTGGAGTGAATATTTGCGTTATTTTCTTTTCCTTACCGTGTATTTATAGGACACAAAGAGACACAAATATTAACAATCTTCCTGTCTATAATTGAGATTATGTATAACCACAATTTGATACTAATTATAATCTTATTCCTATTAATTGATAATACAGGGTTTCTTACAAAAGATGAAACTTCAGAGACGACTGTACGGAATTTATAGTTTTCATTGTTCCTTACAACTGTAAAGTTTCTTTGCCAAATCATTAAATAAGAGTTAATGGAAACTTTGGATCGTTATATTTGAAGAGTTTCAAGTCGTCTTTACAGTCTCATTCTTTGTGGGTAACCCTGTATATATCCTGTGATACTTTGATAAATCTTTAAGTAAAGATAGGGGTACCTTCTGTAACAAATAGGTAGCAGATAAATAATCTATAAACTACAGATATTATTTGCTAAGTAGGAAAACTAATGTTATTTTGTTTGTAGAGTCCAGATAAGCTTCAAGTTCCAAGACGACATTCCCGCCCTAGACGATCAAGTAAACAAGGTATCTTTGAATTTTAGAAAACATAAGAATATATATATATATAATAATGCTAATTTCTAACGTGTTTCTTTTGCATTTAGCACACGAATACGAGTCGCTCGTAAAAAAGTTTTTTTAACTGAAAAAAATTCCAGAGATTTAATTTTTTATTTTTTTTTGGGGGGGGGAGGGGGTTTATTAGATTTATCTAACCTCTACTCCTAACCTTACAATAAATTTACAGGTTTATAACTGATTTTTTAAATTTATAGTACTCTGATTTCAGATTTTCTACATTTTCTGGATCTAGCAGTGGCAAACTAAATCTGGAAAGTCATACTAGTGATGACCAGCTAAGCCTGGAAAGTCAGACTAGTAGTGGAAACTAAACCTAAAAAGTCAGGCTAGCCTTAACAAACGTAACCTCGAAAATCAGACTAGCCGGGGCAAGCTAATTGTAGAAAATCAGTCCAGTCTCAGAAAACAGGATTTTGATTGCTCAAGGTTTAGATAACAAATCCGACCCTAAACTGGTTGTTTATATAATCCGACCCTAACCTAAACTGGTCGTTTATATAATCGACTGAAGAGATAAAGCTGTACTGTGCATACTTTATAGTATGTTGATTTATTTAGCATCTGTACGTTTTATCAGGAGAAAATGTTGATATTGTAATATTATCATCTTAATGATACAATGAGCTAAAAGTATTAGACATCACAAAAACAAAGAACAAAAATGTATTTTTGGTATTAAAGTATATTAAAAGAAATCTGTTTTGAAATTTTATAAGTTTGAGACAAACAATACCATAGTTTACTTAATTTGACAGCTTAATTATTCTAAGAAATGTAACTACCTTTGGTATTAAAGTATATTAAAAGAAAAGACAAACAATACCATAGTTTACTTAATTTGACAGCTTAATTATTCTAAGAAATGTAACTACCTATAAAATTAATATCAAGAATTTATACTTAAATGTTATCAATTTTTGTAAAAGATGCTAAAAGTATTCTAATGGTGTTTTGATTTATTAACTTCAAACAATCAAATGAAATTCAATTTATTTTTAAAGCATTTTTTAAGCATACTGCACTAAAAACGAAGATTCATTTTTTTACAGAAAAGTTTCAAGGAAAAAAAATATATACACAAAAATACACTTTTTTACTTTTCAGTTCCTTGATTTTATTCAAGTTCTAATTGTTTATAGAATTTTATAATTTTATCTATTATTTTCTAGAAAACTGTGTATTGTAACATAGCTGTTCAGTTTTCGTCTCATCTATGATGTCAGGAATTGACAGATTTCTGGCAGATATACGTATCAGAAATAACGGAAGGGGTGTAATAGAAAAATTGGTAAAAATTAATAATTTTTTTTGTATAAAGCTTAAAAAAAGATGAATCGGTTCGAACAACTATAATAAAAGTGTGTACCATTCATTCAAATAATTTATAAAAATTGCGTTTTACCGCCGTACGACGAACGTTCCAAAATCATGAAAATTTTGCTTTAAAATTCTGAAAGTGTCCCAGTAAAGAACACGATTGGAAATTAAAAAGGGACTGCAAAAGACTGTAAGCCTAATTTAAAGTGACTTTACTATACAAAGATTGCATTGTCTGAGCACGGGCAGCCGTAGTACATTTGAATTTCCGAGCCGGGTCAACCTTTCCTTTCCCAGTTTGTACTGTATCGCCCGGACATTGGATAAATATTAAATAAAGCAGACACTCAAATTCAATAGGACTAGCCGGTGCAACAAGGTTGACGCGGTCAGACTTTAGGTTGAATTTACTTTTATTAAAGGGTCAGAGGTGCGTGTGAGTCACTGCAGAGCGATAATCTCATCAATAATATGGAAGCTATTTTTCAAGTGTCTAATTATAAAAACTCCTGTATGTTTTCCTGCAGTAGAAATGCGCAAGCCACTTTAATAGTGAAATCACAATTGAAAATAATAATTTTTCTAAATTTTAAACATTGATATCTGAATCGTGCTTGATCCGCTGAAGCTTGTTAATCGGGAAGTGACATCTTTGCATGAAATCACTTGAATTGATAAATGGCAAATATTTCTTAAATTGTTCTGCCAAAAAATGGCGCGTGAAATACAAACGATTATAAATCTTCCACTAATTAATTTGTTTAATTATTGGTACGCCCTGCTTATTAACGATATCTCGTTGGTCTTATATTGGGTCCATTTAAAAAATGAAATTAAGAATGAGACTTCAGAGACGACTGTACGGAATGTATTCTGTCTGTTTCCCTGCAACTGGTAAAATGTTTCTTTCTTTCAGGGGCGTATTCAGAAATTTGTCCAGGGGGGACTTACATTTTTTTATCTTTCCAATGGGGGGCCTCTGCACCAGTTGGGGTCTGAAAACCCCCTGAAATCAATAGATTTCACTCGTCCAGGGAGGCTTAGTCCCCATAGCCCCCCTGAATACGCCCCTGATTTCATTGTCAAATTAATAAATAAGCCATTAAACGACTTTGATTAATTCTGTCTTGGAATCACCTTGTTTAAGAGATTCAAGTCGTCTAAACAGTCTCATCCTTTGCACACATGTATGCCGATTCTATTATAGTGCCTGATCCAATCAGGGTTCAGTCATGTGTTTGTTGTCTATTCTAATTTTCTAAACCGATAAAAATTCCACGGCTGTAACATCTATCTTTTTTTCTATTTCATCATCCAATTAGAGATGAATCCTCAACAACAGTAAATGGAATTATTTACTTCTACTGAAACTACAGTGCAGTGGGTAACCCTGTATATTATTCTTTGTGTAAATGTGATATTTAATCATAGTATATACTGGTGCATGTAATGTTCTAACAATAAAAATACATCTTCATTTAATTTTTTAATTACTTTTCTTATTTTCATAAAGTAGCATATGTTGCTTTTTCTACTTTTTTACATTGAATCCTTAATCTTCCATTTGTAAGTATGATATTTGCTGGTTTGCTTTTAAATTTAGTTCTGAAGAGATTTTTTTTTTGGTGGNTGATTATGAAAACAGCCCAAAAGCAATATAAAGTATTTTATGTATTTTACTCAACCATGAAAAAAACTACCTTACCAATTCAGGATATTTTGGGGGAAATATTCATTCGGTTTGGGGCAAATTTGTGTGGGAAAAATCCTAAACTATGTCTCAAGGGCACATTTAATTTTTGGGGGCAATTTCTTTAGTTTGGGGAAATATTAAATCTTTGTTTTTGGGGCAAATTTAATTTTTAGTTTTTTTTTTCAGTTTTGTCAATTTTGTGTATGGGAAATCTTAAATCTTTATTTTGGGTTAAAATTTTTTTTATTTTAGGGAATTTTTAAAATATATGTACTAAGGGTTTTTTTATTGGGGGCGAAACTTCTTAATTTTTTGAGCATCATCTAAAAGAAATAAGAGTCATTTTTTGTAGACAGAGCAGGAAATTTCAAAGTTGGTTTTATTATAAAATATTTGGGGATAACAACATTAAATTAAGGTGTAAGTTAAAAATATTTGGTGGCATTCTAAAAACCAAGGGTTACAACTGTTGAAAAAAGGATGTAAATTGAAGTCTGGTGGGGCGATTTGAATAAGATTGAATGTGTGTGCATTTTTTATAAAAAGGGGGCAAAAATTAAAAGAATCTGAGCTTATATTAAAAAATGTTATAGTAGAATTTGAATTTTCTTAAAAAGTGCAGTTTTAAACAAAAATTACTAGGGGGCATAATTTTTTTTCAAATTTTCAAGAAAATTCACTTTTTTTTTGAAACTATACAGAGTGGAAACATGTTAAGGACTACTTGCCCCCCAATGGCGTGAGGTATTTAAATGTTTACTGTTCAATATAACAAGGCCAGCTTTTTTTTTGAAAATTTAGATTTTTTTAGATACAGACCGCCGTCTACTCTACCCTATATATTCATAAAATAACATATTAACAAAAAATCAAGTTAATTACCCTGTCTGAAAAGATTTTGGGGGTTTAACAATGACTGCAGTACACATTATAGCATCATACACAACAACAACAACAAAAACCATTAAAATGCAAAAATGTTTTAATCATTTATGAAGAATTAAATGTAGAGCACAAACTCGGTTATCTCCGATGATTTTAAAAGCAAAGCATAATTTGTCTTCTTGTTCATTCAGAGGGAACGAAAACCTGGATGTCCCAGGGGGAGGACGGCATCCAGGCACAAAACAAGTTCTTCCCTGCCTCCTAAACATACAAACAAAATAATTTATTTTAAAATAAGATATAAATTCATTCATAATATTGTAATACTGATTTCACACTTATACATATTATACCTTTAAAGTATTACCCCTAACCCCCCAGCCAAAAAACAAACAATTAACTTGATTAATTTCTTTTCCAGAAAAGGCTTCATAAACTTGATGGATAAAATTTTTTTTTATTTTTAATAAAATCTACTTTAATTTATTGGAAAACTTACTTTAACCTTGAGTTCGTAATATTTTTTTAAAGTTTTATGTCGTCTTTACAGACGATCCTTTGTGGGTAAAATTGTACATAGATTTTCCATTCATTTCAATATTCCATCACAAATTCTTAAATATTTATTATGTGTTCACAAAAATTGTGAAATAAAATTCAAATCCCTTTAAAGACGACTTTTCATTAGAAAACTACCTTTTGTTTTGCCTTCATTTCCCCCAGACCTGGGGGTTAAATCTCGGTTAAACATTTCAATAGGGCTTCCCCGAACATGGCATTAAAGATTTCTGAGATATGTTTTAACGTAATGTACCCAAATTACAAATTTATATAGTAATTTACAACCCCTTTCTTTAGCCAAGGGGACTTCAAACGAATAAGTGTAAATACAGAATATATGGAACAAATAATTTGCACTGATTTCCCTAAAAGATAAGCACTTCAATTCAAAATTATCACTATGATTTATAATTTTGTCCGACACATAACTGCACTGAGAGTGTACACATTCTGCCACCTATTGTACTTGATAATCTATTTGGGTAACCCTGTATGATACAGGGTGTCCCTCCCAATAAACATGGGAATTCAGTGACGAATTCGATATCGTCTTTTTAAATAATTCTTTGATTTAGTATAGTGAGTGATACCTACTGAGAAAGCTGTAATCTGTAAGAGTTTCGTCTGCTCTGTTCACATTTTGTATGTTTATGTTTTAACTGCATAAGGTTGCACTTAGTAAAACAAGAAAATTATAGTATACAAACAGAGTAAACTTGTCCGTCTTCACTGTTCATCTTCCGGAGACATTATAGAAACATCTTTACACATCTTTTACCCTTTTCATAAAATAAACTCTAGCAGACATAATAATATTATGGATTTTGAAATTAGGTATTACAATGTTAATTTATAACAAAGACGATATCCAATTCGTCACTGAATTCCCATGTTTTTTGAGACACCCTGTATTTATAATAAATACAATGACCAAATTCTATTTTCTGGTTTAAAAAATACGATATTTGATTATGAAAACAGCCCAAAAGCAATATAAAGTATTTCTAATTAAAAAGTAACAAGTTAATTCAAACTCTTTAAAAGATAAAACGTTGATTTATTTGTTTCCAAATTATTTTTATCATAATTTTTGCATTTATCGATAAAAATGCTATTGGACATTAAATTAATAAGAACTGTGATATTGATGAACAATTCAAAGTACTTTTTCGGTCAAAGAGTACGGGATTCTCCTCGACATATCCGGCCTCACTAATAACTGCAAGGGTTCAACTTAGAGTAATAATTTTTCACAGAGCAAGCAAAAATATCACTGTCAAATTCAAAATCTGCATTGCTTAATTCAAGGCACGTAATGGAGGTTACTGTTTTTATTTTAGAATGTACTAAAATATTTACTTAGCTATACTTTTGTATGTTACTGGAATAATTTGTCTGAGATAAATGTGTTTGAAAAGTTCAGGTTCTCAGTTGGCAACTTGGCAACCTTACATTCTTACTCAACACTTTTTATTCTTGGAATATCCTGCCAATTCGAACCTTTCCCCACTTTTCCATTCATTTACAGGGATACCCAGAAAGGATCAGAATTCAGAGACGACTGAACGGAATTGTAATATGTGTTTCCTTATATTAACTAAATTCCCCGCCAGTGTAAACTTGTTTCTTTCTTTGTCAAATCATTAATTAAGCCATTTAAATACCATATATAAGGCAAAAGACTTATTCAACCCTTGGATTGTCATGTTTAAATTTTCGAGTTCGTCTTTACAGTCTCATCTTTTGTGGGTAACCCTGTATATAATTCCCAATAGCTTTCTTTTTGTGCAGACTAATTTTGAAGCATTACAGCGGTCATACGTTTTAAAATAAATTTCAAGACGACATTTCATGTGCTTTTGCTATGTATTCATATATGTGGGATTGGCTGTACCATGAGGAGAAAAAGTTTAAAGATTTTGAATATATTACCTTACAAATACATACAATACAGTTTATATAATATGTGCACAGAGTGCTTTGCGCTCCCTATTATGCGTAATTTCAATTGTGAACTTCCATGCAAAAATATCAATGCCCGATTCACAACGTGGTTCCCTTAAAACCACTTTTGGTACAGACACACAACATGACTACAGTCAAGGAAATTGTAGAACAATGTCGTCAATTATAATTAAGCTTGAATAACGAGTAGTTTATTGTAAACTTCAATCAAATTATATTCTTCGCATAAAAATTTGGCTTATTATAGTGTTGACTTAATATATAAAAATATTATATTACATGTATATTAAACTTGTTTAAGTAAACAATTAACAATAAACAAATGTACTCTCCTAGACTGTACCGAGGCGTGTACTGTATATACCTACAGTACACGCCTTCGGTTCGGTATCACTGTAAATTAAAGTTCAAATATGTTGTAGAGTAGAAAATGTACATTAAAGTTAAAATATGTTGTAGAGCAGAACATGTACATTAAAGTTCAAATATGTTGTAGAGCAGAACATGTACATTAAAGTTTAAATATGTTGTAGAGTAGAACATGTACATTAAAGTTCAAATATGTTGTAGAGTAGAACATGTACATTAAAGTTCAAATATGTTGTAGAGTAGAACATGTACATTAAAGTT